GGGGGGCATTTTTTTTAACCTTTGGATGTTCTGTGTTATACCAAAACCCAGAATACCATGCATACACGGGAACTACATATTTTACAATTTCAATTGCATAAATGTAGAGTTAAGTCTCGTAAAAAAACTTTCAAAATTGATTTCCCAAAATTATCACTATTACACATTTGAATTGAAACAATTAACTTGCTTACTTTAATTTAACCACCACCAACCGGACTGGTTTTTAGAACCAGAAGCAGAAGTATTCACGCGACGCCACAGCCGACATTTGCCAGGAAAGCAACTAACTTTGCCTTAACAGCACTGACAAAATTCAAAATTATTTAAGGAAATTATTACTTATATTTAGTAAATTTACTTCCTCAAATTAATGACGCACTGTTTTGAGCATGAACATGATTTAAGGAAAAACTTCTCAAATTGAGTAAATATTAAGGAAAAAACAGTAACTGGTTTCTTGTTTTAAGGAAATGCTTTTTTTCTAAGTCTATGTAGTATTTAGTGCTAGTTGTTAAAAAAGTTTATGGAAGTGGCATGGTCGACCATAATAATAATAACTAGTGAGCCCGCATGGCATTAACATGCCCAAAATTGAATTTCAAAAGCTTAAAAAATATTCCAAATGTTAGTAAGAGTTATGAAAGATCCGAGTGCCATATTTCATCTAAAACCGTGCAGCTGTTTCTGAGTGACGAGCAGTCTCGTATAGTGCATGTTTTTAATTTCATCAAAATCACCCCATACCGAGAAAAAATTTCTTAATTAAAAAAAAAAAAATTAAAACTCTATCACACACCTACAGACTAAGCTCTTTAATGTGACCACTCATTTTTGAAATTCCTTTTCTAAAGTATTCTCAAATTAAAATCTTCTTAAATCTTTTTCGTCTGGCATTGTGATACACATGTATTTCAATAAACTGATGATTAATTTGAATTTAATCGTTGGAACGGAATTTTTATGTTTCATATACTACTTTTTATATTAGTTAATTGAGTTAAGACATTTCAAACAGGTGGCAGCCCTCTTCAAAAGTATTTTCAAGCTTAATCCTTGTTAACTCCTCTTCGCCGGACACAGCGGTACATATTTTAATTAACTGATGAATTAAGTGGAATTTGACTTTTTAGACATGTGGCAACCCCGTTAAATTCAGTTCAGAATAAAAAAAAAATCAAACATCCTTCGATTGATACCTATATTTTAATAATTCATTTAACTTATTAAATAATTTGAATTTAACAGTTTGAATAGGTGGCAACCCTCTAGCGACACCTCAAAAATATTCTTAGCGTTCAAACTGAAGACTTCTTAACACTCCTTCTTTTGCCATCTATATTTAGATATTTCATATAACTGGTGTATAAGTAAACTAAATTCGACACCTCAAGCAGGTGGCAACCCGTTTCAAAATACTTTCAAAATACCACATTCTGAAATCCCTCTTGTTTGGCACTCATATGGTGATACATGTTTCTCTTACATACTATGATTTTTTAAGAGGTGGCAACCCTGCTATAGTTCAGCTTAGAAACAAAGCTTTTAAACCCCTTTTATTTTTTTAAGTAATTTGAATGTAGTTTTTTAAAAGGTGGCAACTCTTTTCATGAACGTAAAACCTTATTGCACATCTACAGTCCAAGCCATTTAATATTATACCTCATTTCGGAAGGTCGATCGAACTGTGCAACCATTATGGCATTGATCAGCAACGGGTGGCAACTCTTTTCTAAAAACGATATAGAGACCAAGCGCTTTAATTTGACATCTCATTTTTGAAAATCGGGCGAACGGTACAGATAGATACAATAGATATGTAGATCGGCGCTTACACATTTGTTAGTTTTTGGCCGAGCTTCTCTTCCGATTTGTGGCGTGCGCAATGATGCTGTCACACAAAGGGGAGGGACCTACAGTTTTACGCCGACTTCGAACGGCGATTGTAGTTTTATGAGAAGCTGTTTTTCGTGGCAGAAATATACTCGGAGGTTTGCCATTGCCTGCCGAGGGGCGATCGCTACTAGAAAAACTTTTTATGTTTTTTTTGTATTTTACAACGCTTTTATCAACTTGCAATGTTGTGGCTCCAGAAACTTTCAATGTTGTGGATCCAGAAACTTTCAATGTTGTGTGTCCGACACCATAAAACCTTTGCTTTGCAAAGTTCCTATAAAAAAGTCTAGTGCATAGGGCGACACCTGTAGTGAATAGGGCGAGGTAGATGACATCTAGATGTCGCCCAATGTACTACGTTCGCTACAGCGGAAATAGACGACACGCCATTTCTTTAAAAGTTCCTATAAAAAGTCTAGTGCATAGGGCGACATCTGTAGTGAATAGGGCGAGGTAGATGACATCTAGATGTCGCCCTATGTACTACGTTCGCTACAGGGGAAATAGACGACACGCCATTTCTTTAAATAAAATTAATTGGTGCTCGATTGTATGTACATACATATGTAAATGCATGTGTGTGCACCTTTCTATTAATATCGTTGAATTATTTTAATCAGGGTACGAAAATAAACCGTACAAAACAAATGCCATTTG